TATTTAAACGGCAACCTGCTTGTTAGATTGTGTTTGTGAAAGGCTCTCGATGACACATTTGTGTCAGGAAGTAGCTCTGGTCATTGAACACGATTCAGAAACACAAAAGCAAAGCAGAAGGTGATATTTACATCAACAGCAACATTAAAGGCTGTGACAATGTAGCCCCCGTGTTGCAGCATGTGTCAACAAAGCGACGCTACACACAAGTCTGAATCCAAAGTTAATTTGCCCCCATAGAGTCTCGGTGGGGTGGGAATAAAGAACTTGCGATTGTGTTTTGTTTTTGCCACCAGCTTCACAAACAGTGGCACTAACAAAGTATCCTTTCTGTGCCATTTCCTTCCACTCTGATTGGACTAATTGGGACCTGTTGACAGCGAATCCCATCCGTGCAGGAACAAGCCAATCACGACCCGGCATCTGTCATCCCTGGCACACAGCGCTTCCACTCCCCTCATAAAGGCCTTTGTCTCTGCGACCTCAGCGACCTTTAGCATTTTTTAATATGGAGAGCCTGATTAAGTCTCCCAAAACAGGACGTGGAACTATTTGGTGAACATAATTTTGGTACAAAGAACAAAGGATTTACCGTTCATGATACAAACTGCTCCCATCAAAAGTTGAAAAAGTTGAGAAAAACTCAATATTTTAAGCTGACAAACTCGAAAAAGATAGTCAGCTTTAAGTCCAAGTGTTCCCTCGTATGTTTACTTACTCCTGGTTGTGATAAGCTACGTTCCCATTTGTGTTTTATGTATCTTGTCATTAGAACTGATATTAGAACATTTCGTCTGAACGACATTTTCAATTTTTAGTTTACAGTTATCTGGTTTCACTTCTGGTCAATTTCCATGGTCATCATCAAGTACATATTGCCACATACTGTATGTATGGCAATAGGATGATATGTTTCTAAACACCTTCATTTGAGGACTTTTAGCTGGACGAGGACATTAAGTCAATGTGTCTCTTTGATACAAGACTAATCTCATGATTATAAATGAAAAAGAGTTGATTTAAATGGACCTCGTTTGAACCCGACAAGAGAATCTAATTAAACTCGAGTTCGTATTTTTTTATGATTTGCATTGATTCCAGCATTTAAATTGGCACAACTTTTTTTTCAAGATTATAATATTAATCCTAGCAATTTGCGTTCCTTGTTACACACAGGTTTTTTTACAGCTACGAAAATCTAATTATGGAAATAAATGCTTTACTAGCTTTAACAAATAGTACAAAAACATCTTTGACGTTGTGTTACTCATTGTGTGATGAAACACAAACGCTTGGCCCTTTCAAAGTACCTGTGGTACCAGTGGTACTTAACTGAGTTTGGTTGGATGATCCCCACTGCGAAGGAAACAGATACTTCCTTACAAAACAATGATTTTCTTCCATTTGCTTTGAACATTTGCAACAACACCTTTGCTCCAGCAGTGAGACAAACGAGCAGAGGAAGAGAGGGACTGAGGAACCAATGAGCTCCGTCAGAGTCTCAGAGCAACTTGTCTGTCAGCACCATTATGAGCCGCTCATATCTTGACCTGCACCTGTCTTTGGCAGTCCAGGAGTGTATGACCCCCCCTCTCCAGACTCCTCACTGCCCTCCATCTTTAGGAGCTAAAGGGAAGGCTCTGGGATCCCCATTCAGTGAGCGTGATGGACAGGGCAGCAGCCAGAAGAAAAGGCAGCTGTGATGAGAGAGAGAAAGAAAGGAGTGTGGACCCATGTCCCCTTTGTGCTTTTAACTACCTCCCCTCTTGTCTTCCACCGCTATGTCCACACAATAGAGTCTTAACAGGAGCTGTCAGCAGACAACACTAGTGTGACCACCGTGGGCACTGAGGTTAGCCAGGATCGCATTAGCTCTGTGTTTGTATGGCACTGAAAGCCGGCTAGCTACAGTTAAAGCTAGTTTTGTAGTGTTTTCTAAAGGGGCCCGCGGCAGCTTTCAGCCTCGTGTTTACCCACACTAAACTCCAGAACGTCATTGAAAAATTGGGAAGGCTTCAAAATATTTGGAAACTAAGTTAGGTGTCCAGCGGGGGGGCTCCACTTTGCACCTGAGGTTTGATCAATATAGTCAAGTGATGACATGTCAATTTGCACTGGCAGAAAAGAGATGGCGGGAACATGAATGGCGGCGCTGAAGGATGGCGGCAGGTGAATTGTTCTGACAGCGGATACAGTGTATCAACGTGTTGCTTTTAAGTGTGTTTATCTCCCCGCGCCACTCAGCCAGTATTTCCTTACATTCACAGCTCTATTTGACCAATGCTTGTGAAACCGATACTCTTTGCCATCCCCATTGTGCTTTTGTGATAGTGCCATGTTTATGAGTTATTGCACCGCACACACAGTCACGAGCCAGCTGCCGCCATTATTCCATGCTTGATACATGTAATTAAGCCTGAAAAGCACTTACAAGCTGCGGATACAAAAGAGGTGGAGTGGCGTGATCAGATAAAGTTGAATCAGTTCATGATTTTGATTGTTACTTCACAATGATTGGGCAGGTGAAGGAGCAGAAAAGGATTAAGAATACACACATGCGCATGAAAGAAAATGGACTCAGTAGGAGACCACCTTTGCTTCACTGTGTGGAGCGGTGCGTTTGGGGGTTTCCACATCATTTTTTTAATTAACACAAGTATGGACATATGCCTCTTGCATGTCAAAGATAAAATCAAAAATGGTGTATATGGCGATATATTATGTAACAACTGACACTGTTTTAAATACACCGTGGTGGAAGAGTCTATGTTGTTTTACTCCGTGACCATTAGATGGCAGTAAAGCACAGCTGAGTCTCCTGATCTTCTGGAAGTAGAACTGCTGTTTTCTGCTTTCTTGGAAAGGCAGAGAAAATGCTTGGTTGATGTTTGGGTTTAACGCAGTGAGTCAGCACAGCGCGGTCCAGTTGAGGTAAAAAGCCTTTTTAAATCCCTGTTCCTACTCCTACATAGACAAGTTGGCCAGTTGCATTTAACAAAAAAGTTTGTTGAGTTCAAGTTTTCGTGGAAATTCAAATTATTTCTAGGTTTAATTAAAACAAATCACATAAACACAAGACATCTGCCACATGTGCATAGAGGCAAACGACATGCACAAACAATTTCCTATTGGGAGGTTCAGAACGATATGCATAAAGGAAACCTTGTAACATGACATCCATAATGAGAGTCTCTTGATCTTCACCTGTGCTATCCAGAGTCAGAATCAAAGGAGAACCATGAACATTGTCTCTGTTTTGTCTCATGGTTTACTGTACGCGTAGGATCAAATCTCCAGCCACCAATAAACAAACAAGCAAGTCATCAGAAACACGTTTGACACAGAGGATCAGTCACTGTGGTGCGGGCAACAGCAGAGCCTTCATGTGGTCGGGCTTTTATCAACACAGACAGCATCACTGGGCCTCTGGTCGGCGGTGCAGCGGTGCTTCAACCAGCCTTATCTCACCACTGTGTGTGTTAGCTTAGCTCTCCGTTAGCTAGGTCCACTCTATCACTGCTAAAGGATTTAGCCCAGTACCGTTATTAATTTAAGGTTATTTGTTTATTCCAACTAGAGTTTAAAGTATGATTCATTGCACATATATTCTCTACACATGCAATCAACTCCATAACCATTTCCCCCCTTTTTTTTTCATGGGTTTTCCTAAAAAATAAATGTGTAATACAAAGTAATATAGGCTAACAAATATACAAATAATAATAAATTGAAAGAATTGTTCATTTTAAATGTTTAAATTCCTATTTTCAAATCGTTTTGGTAAAAATGAACCATACAAATAATTATATACACAAAAATCCTATTTTTAATATGAAATGTATGTAGGCCTACTTATGTTTAGCCTAGGAATTCAATGTTTCAGATTATAGTTGCCAGTCTGTTACTTGAAGTATCTGCCTTTTTTCCACATTAATATTCATGCACATACTGGACACAATGTGTAGTTATATGACTGTTTTGATAGCGTTTTTTAGTTTACCGTATTAAAATCGGACACAAAAGATCCTTTCGGCTCACAATTTGTTTGCACAGACCATAACACACCTCATCCACCTACACTGGTTGCCGGTCAAGTCCCGCATATCCTACAAAGTCCTCCTCCTCACCTACAAGTCCCTCCATGCCCTTGCCCCCCAGTACCTATCGGACATCCTTCACCCACATGCCCCACCCCGGAACCTGCGGTCCTCAGACTCTGGCCTGCTTACCACCCCCCGCACCAAACTGCGAACCTTCGGGGACAGAGTCTTCAGTGTGGCAGCCCCAACCCTCTGGAACGCTCTCCCTGCGGAGATTCGCAACATCCCCACACTCGACGCCTTCAAAAGGGCCCTCAAGTCCCATCTGTTTGCCAAGGCTTTCGGCCCCTAAATCGATCTGTTGTTTTACCTGTCTGACTTTTTGTTTTGTTATGTTTGTTTTTTGCCCTATTACTTGTAAAGCGACCTTGGGTCCCTTGAAAGGCGCTATATAAATCCAAGCTATTATTATTATTATAAATGCATCTATGTACACACATGCACCCATACATTTATACCAAATAAAACCATTCACTTACATACAACCATGCCAAAAACAAACTCCAACACATACCAAAACTAAACATACTAAAAAACTATTAAATAATCAAAGAATTATGCATAGCTGTAAGCAGGATGTGTTTCTTCCTGTGTGTCTTTTCACTCAACCTGTTAAGTTTACCAACTAACTCAAACTGAACACTTTAACTCTCATGGAGAGAGGATTACATTACTTCAATCTACACAAAATTTGACTGATGATTGCACATTGTAATCTGCCTGTATGATATGTGTTGTTGTCCCAATGATATTTGGTATTCAGGCAACTTTACAAGTTATACTCGAATAGTAACTTAGTTAACTTATTTTCTGGTTTGCAGGACCAACAATGACAGAAAGAAGGAAAGAGGAAACATGTATGGAAAGATAATTAGAACTTAAAACGTTTACAAAACTTACCTCCAAGTGGTTCTGGACCCCTTTCTTAACAAGTTCATGTTGAGGCACTTTCACTACACCACTGGAGAGATAATAATTATATAATAAATAATAACACACCTTTGAGTGCAACCAGATATCATGCATTATTACATAACCTACCTGTATTTTGTTCCAATGTATTGAAAGAAGATGAGATAGCGTGCACAGTTGTGCATGATGTCTCTAAATGTCTTGACACTTCCTTATCATAATGTGATACAAATTGGTCATGCGTCAACAGAAGGGTACATTGTAAAATATTATTTTTACTGTCACAACTTTGACATTAACGCGTCTATGGTAATGACAGGTACTGGGAGCCGGTGAAGAACGACCTTAAAACCTGCAGGTGAGGCACTCAGATGCGACAAACTACAGCAGGGACAACACAGCAGGCGCGAGCAGGCAGACTGTTGACACGTGCCGCATTTCCAAGTAGCCTAGTTATATCTGTAGTCCGGAAGAACAGTCGAGACGTCTGATCATTTATCCTATTATAAATTACCAATATATGTAAGCATTCATGTAAAGTTAAGGCAAAACATGTTCCAAGGGGTTTGCAGCCCTGTCGGTCGCTTTTTGTTTGCGTCATAATCCAAAGAGGGGGTGTGTGTCTACGTCATCCTCGACCAGCCGCAAAGCCATCTGCCTTGAGAAAAATTGCGTTCAGAGACGATACAGTAGTGGAGATGGGTCGGTATAAATATAATCAACACGAGCAACAACCGAGTTTAGATCAGTGACAGAGGCGTACCAAGATACGCTTCCTGACATTAATTGTATTTGTTTAAAATGCTGACAAATATGCTACACTGAATTTAGGCTACACAACACTTCAGGTAAATCAGAGATTCATCTGTTACAAATCTGGATTTTCAAAAAGCTAAAAGGCTAACTTTTGACAATCAAAAAGTAGAATATAATCAATACTCTGCTTTGTTCAAACTGCTGAATGTTTTAGTTATGTTTTATCTGAGTTTTGGCATAATAATTGGATTTAGTAGTACTATTACCCAATGCAATGCTCTACATTTTTAAACGACCCGAAACACTATGCTGATATTCTCTCATTTCTAAATGTGTTTTTTTGTGCAAGAAACACATCGCAAGTATTGCATAAGGAAATTAATGTGTGCGAAATATATTTTCTGTTAATACTGATTGGGGCTCCATGGGTTTGAGTGAGGTTTCTCCCATGATTCCTCCTGTTCTCCAGATGTGTTACGGCAGGTGGTAACTAGTCGGCGCTCTCTTCCACTCTTTCAGTCTCCGCGGTGCAGCTACATCTCTCGCCTGTCTCGCAGCAGCAGCAGCATTGTAGTAGTAATCCGCCTGCCGCGCACAGAGCACGCAGTTTGTGTCACGGTGCCACCAGAATAGGGGCGACAGACAGCTGCGCGTCAGGGGACACCGACCAGTCACCATCCGCACAGTTCAAGCGACATCCCTCAGCGGGCAATGACATTGGCAAACTGAACGAGGAATACACGAGAAAAACGCAAAAATGACGGTGGACTTTGAAGAATGTATAAAAGATTCCCCCCGATTCAGGTAAGGCTTCTCCTCACAGGCATATCACAGCGGTGCGCAAAAATGGCACACCTTATTTTACGCATGATTTTTTTGGATGAGGACCGAACAGTCCCCTCATGTTGTGGTGGCATCTGCAGAGAAAATAATACATTGTTACTCGTCCATGTGTTCAACAGCATGATGGCGTATTTCTTCCATTTTGTCCTTTTTTTTCATTTTCTAAACCATTTAATCATATTCCAAGTATTTTCTTTTAAATGTCATTTTTTAGTTTGTTATTAAAACATTTATTTGCATCTAATGCATTTGCTGGAGGAGACGTGCATGTCTGTCAGTGGTTCCGATGTGTCTGGTTTTCCGAATGTGGTTTGGCTCAGTGCATATGAGAAGAGGGACACTCATTGCCACGCATAGTGAGGATCCATTTTGCTCCAGTGTAAAAATAATAAGGGATTTTCAGCATGCTTAATCAACAGTCTGAAGTGCACTGTAAAAGAAGGAGGCACTCATTTGAATGTGGCCTTATAACAAGTGAGAGTGTATGATGGGACCTTCCTGTGCGTGTGTTGCAGCATGGCATACAGGTTGGGTGCAGTCTTTTCTCATGGAGGAGGCCCTGTCATCCACTGGTGGTAGATTGGAGAGGAGATGCCTTGCAGAAGCAGCAGCTCACAGAGGCATCAGGGAGAGGAGTACACTCTCCCCTCCGGTGATAGAGCTTGTATCCTGGGCACAGATCCAGCTCTTCGGCCCCTTGCATGCCCGCTTGAGGGTTGTAGCCTCACTCAGTCCACGTGCCAGTCTGGCACTCCTGTGTATAGGCCGATAGGAAACTAGAAGATGAGATTCTAATAGCATATGTCAAAAGAAAGGCTGGTAGTGCTCTTTTCAGCATTTTACTGAAAAGAAGCCAAAGCCGTTTATAGGCAAATGTTATTTTCTCTAACTCTGTTTCTGGTTGTCTCAGCATCTGTTGCTTATTTGCTCTCATTTGGTTTCTTCCTTCTTCCACTCTCAGAAACAACTTATCCTCTTTGTTGAACGTTGTGCCACTCAAACATTTGTGATTTGAATGAAAACAGTGTAATGAAATAAAGAGAGCGGAGAGAGACAGACATTCAATTTGCTGCTAAAAAAATCCCATCACAGTGATGGATGGCTGAAGCAGAAGGTCACAGGAAGAGACATTTTCTGCCTGGTTCTCTTTCCTCTGATCTTGTAAGGGCTGTCATTTATTTGGAAAATCCCCACAATGATAAAGGAAGCTGATGTTCCCTTGGGTTTACAAGCAGTAGGGAAATTATAATGTTGCGTAACTCTGTGATCATGATGATTGAGAAGAAAATCCCTATCCTTGTTCCGATCATATTTGGATTAAATACAGGATGAGTTACCTTTTTTTCATTCCCTTGTACACATGATATTATCTAGGTTTATGATCATCCGTCGATGCAGGACCTTTTTGCATGTAAACACATGTTTGTTTTTTGAACACCCTTCACAGTGTTCCTCATGACATTATGTTACAATAATCAAGCAGCTATTCTTAATGCCTAGATAGCTACAAATAAATACCCAAATCGTAAAAACATGGGACACAGCCATTACTTCAAACTGTGATTTCGTTATGGGCAGTCATTACTGAATTGTACATCATATTGTGGTCTGGGTTTTTGATCCTCTTTGTTGTGTCACTGTGGAGAAACAGAAGTAGAAAGAGCCGGTCCTGTCTGTCCTCCCACACATGGCGCTTTAAAAAACGCTCCCACACCTCACTGCAGGTCCTTACTTGAACTGGTCCTGTTGTATTTGTCTATGCATGATTAGTTGAGTGTGAAGGAATTTATACGGTATGTCCTCATAATCTATAACACACGTCTTTTGTTCAGACTGTCTACGCTAAACTTGTTTTTCTCTCGTCCCGACCTTTCATTCAGCGCTCACCTGCTGCAGTCATTCATTCTGGAACAAAAGCTGACATGAAGCCCTGTGCATTGCACCTGTTTAGAGTTGTTGTTGTAATCTGATTCCCTAAACAAATGTTTGGTCAGTTTTTGGCTTGTCTTCACTCATGGTTTAAGAACGTGACTAATTGAGCGCTGTTGTTGGGAGCCTGAGATCTGAGGGTTTTCAGAAAGACTGCTTCTCTAGTTGTTTGGTTGGTGTTTATCTAATGGCAGAACATACATTTGGTCGTACATGTTTTCAAAAAGGTCATTATTGTCAACTTCAGCCAATTGACTTGATCATGAAATCTTGATAAGAAGTGCTAGACGTAGTGTTTTAATGTATTTATCATTAAACAGTCTAACAGTCCAAGTGTACAGTGCACTTTTTTAATTTCACCTTTAAATCACCAAACTAGTGATCATAAAGGCAGGTACATGATCTTTTTATAGCTACATATTTTCATTGACAACATTGTTATGATATAAGTAATCTATGCATATGTGGGTATGAGCTGTTGCCTAGCAACAGCTGCTGCAATCGAGACAAATGGGAGCTTGGAGAAAAGAGGACGAGACTTTGAGAATGGAGGAGGCGAGTGGATGCTTTAAAAAGATACTGTCATTATTTTAAATTTCCCACACAGTGAAGAGTTTCAATGTGACAAGCAGGTTTGACTACTTTCTGTTTTGATACATTTCTTTGGGCAAAAGTATAGTAACATTACTTTGTGAAACTTGTACTACCAGTGTAGCTGTATTATTAATGACTTTAGCCACTAAGTCATTATATCAACATTACTGATGATTATTTTCATTCTGTGAATATTTTGTGAAAGCACCGATGGTCAACCTTCAATATTTTCCCAAAATATTGAGATTTTCTCTATTTCACCCAGCCCTAACAATGTTTATGGAAGCGTATATGTGGCCTGGAGGGGATTCAGCAGGTCCAGGAGTGTACAGATGAACAGATTGGAGAACCAGCCGCACCTGTTGGCCTCTTCCTGTCATTTGTCTGAGTCTTTTGATCCCACCCACATACAGTGCACAACATCGGGCTATCTAGACAGGTTGAGTGAGTGAGTCAACAAGATTCAGAAAGTGACAGGAAACAGATTGGAAGAGTGGGGGTTATGTTACAAATGTGATACTCTCCCTTAAATGTCTTGTATTCTTACATCGTTTTGAATTAATGTAACATAAGACATTTAGTAAAAGTGGGATTTTGCTAGCTATGTTCTAAAGTAATCTGCTGCCAAAACCACAGAGCATTTTCAAGGAATTACGCCAAAACCAGTTGAATGAATGCCGACTGTTGCCAGTAGTCATCAACAGTGAATTATTTCCCATACAGGACTTTAAAGGGTTGTGTAAGACTTACCACCTTCATATAATTCGAAAGTTGTCAAACCTGCTTATATCTGACCTCATATTCAGATAAATGCTTCAGGCTCCAGGTTGCTGCATGTCATAACATGAAGCCAATTGCTGAGGAAGACACATTTGAATATCACAATCAGGTAGATGTTTAAGTCTTTTGTTTATCTGATAATATCTGTAAAGAAGTGAATCATGTTCCTGCTAGGGCCAAACTATTTGCAAATCTGATACAAATTATTTTATATTTAAAATGATTAAAGGTGGGTTAGGTACGTTTGAGGAACCAGCTCGAGATACACTTTTTGTTATATTCTATGGAATGCTCTTAACATCCCGATAGCAATGAATATCTTAAGTACTTTGACAAAAAATCCATAAAAAAATGTCATCCGTGGAAGCCGTAGCACTGTAAAAAGCACGACCAATCATCTGAGCCGGGAATTTGACAAATATCTGGAATTTAGTAAATGCAATATGCGGACAGGGACTATGTTGTTGTGTGTGTGATGTGTTGTGTGGTGCACATCTACTCTACCACTCATCACATCGACGACCACAGACAGAACACACATTCCACATCAACACACACACCACTCCACACACACACACACCACATCTTCCACCTAACCGTAACACGTGGCGTATTGCGCGTATTGTTCAAACACGTGTCTACCTTCCGCTCTGCTACATCGATTGCTCGCTGTGTGGAGATATAGTATTATAGANACACACACACGTGTGGTGTGTGTGTGTGTTGGTGTTCGGATCAGGGGGTCGCAGGTTCAAACCCCACTGCAGTCAGCATGTCGTTGTGTCCCTGGGCAAGACACC